GCACCTCTGTGTTTAGCCCTTAGTGCCTCTGCTTGCTTAAGTTTTCCAGCTCAAATCCTTTTAAGACAAAACCGCGACTCTCACCCACTCCTCCCCTTTGTTTTCTCTCAGGCTGTAGAACTTAGTAATTCCAACAAGCAGTGTTTCATTCCACGAGGGTCTGAACAGATTGCTTTTAAATCATGGTTTCCTGTTCATACTTGTTCCCTGTTACACTTAGTGTGTGGGCATGGAAATGATTCTCCAGGTGACTAATGTTTCACTAGGAAGGTGTTGATATGCTGTTTGCCACCCTCACCTTTATTAAAAGACTTAGAAGAATTCCCCCCCCCCCTTCCCCGCCACTGACCTGGTGCAGTAATATTACAGAATGTTAGTGTGACCTTTCTCTGCTCTGGCTCAGCTGAGTAGCTACAAAACCATCTCTTCTTTCTATATGTCCTTCCATCCAACTAACTCATTTTCACACTTCATCAGCTTGTTAGGAAGACCACATATTTCCAGTTAAACTTTCTGGAGACTTGCTTTAAAGTGTGATGTAAGCAATCCTACTACAGCTAAAACTCTGACACGGTCTTTTCAGAGGGAAAATATTATTTATTTATTTTAGGCCTCTAAGTTCTGTTAGGTAAGTAGGAATTAAACCTCCTTCGTTTTTTCTCATTCAAACACATGACCTGAAAAAGGTGATTCCTGATTCCATCCTGGTTCCCATCTGACATCTTCAAAACTTGCACAAATACCCTTAATATTTAAGTATCCTTCGTATTTTTCTATTGTAAGAGCCTAAATAGGCATCTTTACGTAAGTGGTTTTGCTTTGCTGCTGGCACCCAGACCCAAGAACTAGAAGGGACATTTCCCCAATTGCCTCATCTCACAGTTGAGGACACTGTCCTTGAGAAGGGAAATGAGTAGCCTGGGGTCACTCAACTAGAACAAAGTTGCTACTATTTTTTATTAAGATTTGCTTTTACGATGTCTAAGGTATATGCAATATTGCCACCACTATCTTATGTTTGCTGTATGAGGACTACCTGATATATGTAAACTGAAGAAATACACTGAGAAATGTAACTTCTTTTCATCATGTTCACATATAGATGTGTACTGAACAATTTTAAAGAGTGAATTTGTATAAAAATTGAGAAAGCTGGGTATGTATATAGACTTTAATTTAAAATGATAGCAATATCCTGAAATCATGCATTATCTCCGAGGTTTTATCCCTTCCTTACTACTCCTCCCTTCTGGACAACCAGCAAAGAAGCATAAGTCCACTTTACCTTGAAGGATTAAGGATCCTGTGTGCTCTTCAAAGGAGAATAATTAGGAAGGAAATGCAAAAGTAGTACCTTATTTGCATAAATTCATAGTTGTCAAATTTCCCCAAAATATATTGTATAAAAACTTTCTGCATTTTCAATAGTTATTTTTAAAAACTAAAAAACTAAACTAAAAAACAAGCCAAAACCGGTTTGGCTCGGTGGATAGGGCGTCGGCCTGCAGACTGAAAGGTCCCAGGTTTGATTCCGGTTAAGGGCATGTACCTGGGTTGCGGGCACATCTCCAGTAGGAGATGTGCAGGAGGCAGCTGATCGATGTTTCTAACTCTATCTCTCTCCCTTCCTCTCTGTAAAAAATCAAAAAAATATATTAAAAAAAACAAAACTAAAAAACAAGAAAAAATAATAATATATCCCTGCAACAAAATATCAGGGCAACAAAAGAAGTCTCCAGGGAACTTGAGATGACCATTGATTCAAAAATCCACAGTTAATTTCTCAGAAGTTATCAGCAGTCCATCTGAATTCCACAAATCCTTTTCTACATCCTTTCCCACCAAAAAAAAAGAACACAAAAGATCATCAAGATTACTTGAAATATTATAACTAATAAAAGTCATCAAATATTTCCCAAGTTTCTAGAAGTACAATGGAAAAATGTTAGAAAATGACAAAAGTAGGAAAATCTGATTTTATGCTCCATTTGGATGTAAGAATTTTCCACACCTTTAAACTGAAGGGTTTTTCTTCTTCTTCTTCAGAAAAAACACTGTCAAAATGTACAAGGTGCTTAAAAACCAAAGGAGGAATTTCAGCCCTCTCCATGGTCACATAGTCTTCTGTGAATGAGCTGAACACAGCTTAGAAAACTCCGAGCTCAGTTATTTATTCAACAAACACTTATTGTTGCCCTGCGTGCCAAACACTGACAGATTCTGGAGGTGAATAAGACAGCACAATAATCAGATGTTTCTTACTCTCTATCTCCCTCCTTTCCTCTCTGTAAAAAATCAATAAAATATATATAAAAAAAAAAAGACAGCACATGCCAATGTACT